GACCCTTCCTCAGAACTTCCTCTAGTCTTGGACTCCCCTACCCTGTGGGAAACACCTTGGCTATTCACCTTATCCATGCCCTCATGATTTTAAAATCTCTACCAGATCACCCCTCAGCCTCCAATGCTCCAGGGTAAAAAGACCCAGCCTATTCAACCTTTACCTATAGCGCAAACCCTCCAACCCTGGCAAAATCATTGTAAATTTTTTTCTGAATCCTTTCCAGCTTAACAACTTCCTATAGCAGGGGAGACTACAATTGTACACAGTATTCTAAAAGTGATCTCACCAATGTCCAGTACAGCTACAACATGATGTCTGAACTCTATATTCAATGCACTGACCAATGAAGACAAGCATGCCAAACCACTTCTTCGCCACCCTATCTACCTGCGACTACAGTTTCAAGGAACTATACACCTACACCCCTAGGTCTCTTTGTTCAGCAACACTCCCCAGCAGCCCTACCATTAATTTTGTAAGTCCTGCCTTGATTTGCCTTACCAAAATGCAACCCATCAAATTAAACTCCATCTGTCACTTCTTGGCCCATTGGCCCATCTAATCAAGGTCCCACTGTTCTTCCAGATAGCCTTCTTCACTGTCCAGTACATCACCTATTTTAGTGTCATCATGCCACGAGCTGGCAGTAAAAACACTGCCAAAGAAAGAACAGACCATGCAGATGCCAGGCACCATTCAGAAAGGGCAGAAGAGGAAACAAAGCAAGACCTACTTTAATGGCGAAGCAAACCTAATAGAGTATGAGGTAGGAGTAGAGGTAATGCTCCAGGTTTTCCAACCAGGCACATTCTTGTCGTCCAAATTGTCTGGACTCCAGTCCATAGTGGATAAGGCAAACCCATCAGTTTACTAGATCTTAGTGAAATCCAAGTAGACTGGATGGAACCAGCTTAAACAGATGAAAGAATGTGGCCCCCAAAGCAACCATCAGTTTCATATATCCCTAGAAGAATGCAAGACACCAGCCCCACACCCCAATCCCTTGCCCCGATCTGAATCCCATGGAACCAGGAGACAATTCCTTGGCTGCTGCGAGCTAAGAAAACTATATACCATTCAGAGTTCTGAAGAGCCATCATAGCTCCAAGGCACACAAAAACGTTTGATCAGATCTTCCAATGAGGAGGATGAGGCTAAACAAAACTCTCCACAGTCCGAGTCCTCCTATTCTCAGCAACATTTCCATCTGTCTTCTCATCTTAAATAGCACAGCTTCCATGCTTTGAGGTAGCAGCTGCCAGCCTCTTTTAGCCTCTCCATCCCCAATGAAAGAAGGACCGGGCAAAGTTGCCCTGTCCCTACCAGTAAATGCTCCTATCTGAAAGGCACCACAGACCAAACCCAAAATGCATGGCCACAAACACGCTCCTGAATCTAAATTCTATTTATGTCTGACACAAGTGACAGATGAAAATGGGGAAAATAAAAAAAAACAGTAGTGAGGAACATTCAAAAGACAAGTATGAGACAGCATTAAAATATGGCCAATAGAGATCTCCACCAGTGGAGGACAGTTAGGGAATGTATCTAAAGCCATAGAGATATTATCTAAGGACAAAAATAGATGCTACCTTGATTTTCCTTCAGGATAAACCATCAATTTAGAAGACATTCTGAAGTTCTACCTCGTAGAATTCAACACCAGGATCAATTCACTGAAGACACCGAATAAACAAAGGAGTTTTTTACCTGGGGTACATGTGGTAAACCTCACTGGACGTTGGCAAATTAAAATTCATTCGGTGGAACAAAGAACTATTTCAGAGACAATGCTTAACCAATGGTCTCCACGTGTACAATAAAGAAACTCTTGGACATATTTGTAAATATTCACTTTGTATTTGGATTCATGAAAAGAGTAATATAAATCAGATTTTACTTTTGATTTTACAATGTTTGAGATTTGTATTGCATTTGAGAAAATGTTTCAGAATAGGGCACATTTTGTCTTGACTTCTGCAATGGTTAAGTTCGCTGTGTGTGAAGTTTAAAGTTAATGTTTTTACAGTACTTAATTAAGGATGTTTTTATAGTGAAAGAGTTAGAAATTTTGGGCTGATTGTTGCATTATCCTATTTGCTCAGGCCTATGGGATCAAGAGAGGGACTGTGGCCAAGTGGCCAACAGCCTGAATAACTACGCCCAAAACAAAATTGGCTAAATAGTTTCTGCAAGCCAGGCCCGATGGAATGCAAAGAGGTCAAATTTATTACAGATCAAAAGCAAACAAGGGCCAGCCCAGATCTGTCTTGCACATTGAACAGGAGTGCTCAAAACTCATAAAGAAATACTCAGTCCTTTATTTGGCTCATACAGTAAGAGCACCTGGGTAAACATGTTTTATGAGTAATAAAATGTTTGTATAGAATATTTCACAGGCTTTAATATTTAATGTCATCAAACATTACAAGAGAATTATAAACCAAAATAGCATGTTGAACTATTTATAAGGTCAAGATATATATATGTGTTTAGATATTGCTTGGAGTACATGGTAGCTCTGTTTCAGAAGGTACATTTTCTAATTAAGCACCTATCCTCATAAGAAACTACAATGAATATGCTGGTCAATCCCCAGATACACTAACAACATGAACACTGAAACAAATGTATCTCACTCATCTGTCTGCAGTAGGGGTGTTTAAATTGGGAGGTGGTGCCAGAATTACTGAGCACTGCTTGGTGTGTTTACATAGTTGTGAGAAGTCCAGGTTGCACTGCTGCTGAGACACAGCTTCTGGAGCAGAATGACATTCAGGGGTACAGAAATGGATCTTAGAATTTGCAAAAGAAAAAGAGAACATACGAGGAGGACGTTCTACACCATAAGTTATTATCAGAAAGGCATTTCAGGAAAGATGAGAGGAATAGTTCCAACTTTGAATGAGGCTTGAATGAAAATTTCAACTAGAGGGAAAGAGTGAGGGAATGGGATTGCAGATTGTCTTTTCAAACTGGTGGGCAGGCAAAAGAGCTCAATGGCCTCCTTCTGTGTTGTATTGTGCTATGATTCTACAGGGATTCTCATCTCAAATCAGGAGGGCCTTCTCAAGATTCTACAAAAGGTGATGATGGATGAAATCTGAAAAGTCAAGAGTGCAAGGTATTGCCTGTTCCAAACAATTGTTTCTACTTATTCAAGAAGCAATATTATATCTGGGGTCAATAAGCATGGGCAGAGCTTTTGTAAGTGTTGTAGGGAGAAATATCAAAGAGGAGTTTAAGCTCTGTGTTCCTCAGCACAAGTGATCTTTATTCAAAGCTATATTACTACATATGAGACCATCCCGAATCTGTCTTTCACGTAGGACCCAGTTGCCCTCTTAATCACAGCTCAGATCAGAAGTCAATGGCGCCCTGGGTTCCCCAGCAAAATACAACATTTTAATACATTTCACGTTACATTAATTACATGCAACATTGATGTCACTGTTAGCCAGATCCCCCTAATCTATACATCCAATCCACTGAACATGATCAATGATGGACAACTCCATGGATAGCCTTAGGTTCTCCTATAATCTCATGATGTTTGCCAGATACCTCCATCATCTGTCTTTGGGATCTTACAATGCTAGTTTTATTAAAACTAACAATCTTATTCCTTCGTAGACATTTGCCAGCTGCACCACATTATTTAGCAATACCTAAATAGTTAATTTTTACTGAGAATTCTTTCAAATTCTGTACTAACTTTAGTATGGCAGATTAGGAAGGATATTAATCTCAACCAATTGTTATAAAGTCTTTAAAATTAACTCTAATATAAAGTTACTGTGACATAGCTGATAAATTGAGAACAACCCCTCTCTCACTTCAGCCTGAGAGATCAAGCAGCCTTTGTGACTTGCAACTACAGTTTATGACCCCTGCTATTTGCATGCTGAAAGTGAATTTTTAAATAATTTTTTGACTATTTCTACACTAAACACTTTCCATTCCTAATATTTTTTCTTAATAAAAAGCATTTATTTTAATTCCACTGATGAGGGTGAAATTCAATCACTTGTAATTTTACCAAGCCATTAAACAAAACTTATTTAGATTCCACAAACAGCCAGGGGACATAACCACATCTTCATTCTGTATTCTATCTTTGTCACTCTTCTCTTGATTTTTGAATGTATGAATTTGTTTGAATTATCTGCATTTGTTTCAAATATTTATAATTCCCCAGTTGTAACTTCTGTTTTTACAAATTTCTCTGCCCTCCTCCTGTGCCAATGTTTTTTTTTGAGATCTTGTTTAGACCATTTATTATTTTATCTTGTCTAATTATGCAATAGCTCTCTTTACTGCCTTATAAGCATTTGCTAAAGGAATGCAATTAACCTTTTTACACTAATTTGTTATTTGCCTTTCTAATTTTACAATTACCTAAAAAAAATCAGAATACTGTAGGATCAGGCTTTTCTTCTACTTTTTACTAAATGACATGCATGGGACTGTGGCTAAGCTAGGCCTTTCAAAAATTCCCCTTATTAAAATGCTTATATGTTTAGAACTGCCTGTTTACAGAAACCTGATTACTTTCCCTTATGTTTCTTCCCACGGAGAATCTGTATATGGAGACTACCAGTCTAGCTATGAACATTTGCTGTATGTGACTGTCAAATCCTTTTGTCCATCTTGTGTTGGCTAAAAAAAAGACTGAAGTGGCCATTTTGTCAACTTTAGGTCACGGGTTGCTACAACAATAAGGATGCAGAGCATGGAACTAGGAGAAAATGAAACAAACTTATCTACATAAAAACTGAAAGAACTGCAGATGCTGTAAATCAGGAATAAAAACAAAGTTGCTGGAAAAGCACAGCAGGTCTGGCAGCATCTGTGAAGGAGAAAACAGAGTTAACGTTTCGGGTCCGGTGACCCTTCCTCAGGGTCCCCATTTCTGATGAAGGGTCTAGGCCCGAAACGTCAGCCTTTCTGCTCCTATGATGCTGCTTGGCCTGCTGTGTTCATCCAGCTCTGCACCTTGTTGTCTCGGATTCTCCAGCATCTGCAGTTCCTACTATCTCTGCATTCTCTAAATGATGTGCAGCTTCTATTATCTAGCACTGAGAACAGCAATGTTGCACTGAAACATCCGCCTGCTGAGCAACATTACTGGCAGCAAGGTCCCCAGGTTCCTGCAGTTCACAGCTCATTCTACCTGGTCAGTCCATCCATGCAACTGAGCTTCTATTGTTTCTTCTCTGTTTCCTTCTTTCCCCCAGCTTTACAGAGCTCCTTGCTGATGTTTCAGTTCCCAGTTCCGATACAGGGTTTATTCCTAGAGTGTTAACCTGGTTTCTCTCCCCACCTGTGACTGAGACCAAACCCATCAGTTTACAGCTGGCAGGAGGCAGGGGGACCGGGTGAAATTATGGGATGGATCTGTCAGTGCCCTTTCATCCCACAGATTGTCAGTGGGGCAGAGTTTTTCCTGTCGTCATTCGATCCCAAATGGAAGAAGGGATAGATTGTCTCAGTGAAAGTGTGGGTGAAAGTGTGGAGATGGGACATGTTGTCCGCATTGTAAAATGACACCTGACCACCCTCATAGTCCAGGAAAACACCGACCTTCCGGGGATTCAAACTTGTGCTCAGGCGGATCCATGAGGGGCAAGTGCTGGCTAAATACCCACTCCCAGGAATCAGCCACACAACCCAATATCCTGTCTCTGGTCTTGGGTCAACACCCCCTTTCCTATCTGAAGACTCTCGGGCCACTCCCAAGCCCCACTCAGTCTTGTCCCCTACTCCCACCTCCCAGTAATGTCTCCCTGATGTGAATCCCTCCAATCCAAGGACACAGGTACACTGATCAAACTGCTTCACATTTCTCAGTAGTTGATTTGGCTTGTCTCCAAGTCTCACACTGGTTCGGTCCTGGGACAGGACAAGCCAGGGATTTGCAGTGTTTGGATCCAGAGTCAGAGAGGCTGGAACTGTGGGAAAATTAAAATAGCACAGTTACTCATTTAGGGAAAGGAGGTGGGAGAATTCAGGTAGATGGAGGGATGGCTGGAAAGGGAGAGATGAGAGAACAGAAGTACAAAATATAGGGGAGGACTGGGAAGTGAAAGAAATTACAGGGAATAGAGGGAGGTAAGTGGAGGAGTGTCATGGAGCACAACAGGTGTGGACTGAGAAAGAGGTAGAAGGAAGAATGGCACATGGAGAGGAACAAGGGTGAAGGAGAGGAAGAAATGAGTGGAAGGGAGGGCGAGACAGCAAATCTTAGTAAAGAGCAGGAATTAGAGAATGGCAAGTAGCGGGTATAGGTTCAGGCCCACACTTTTAGTGCAAGCTTTATTTCAGTTAATTATACTCCTTAGAACTCACACCTACAGATAAATAGCTCCCATGTTTATATAAACAATTCATCTCAATTAACCCTTCACTAATACATTCATCACATTGTCCCTCCAGTGGGCCTCAGGCATCCCTTCAGACCTTGTTAGAAGATAACAGATTCCTTTTATCTTTTAAAATAATTCAACATATGCACCAAAAAAAGCAAAATAAATAAAATGTCAACATTTACATTCCCTTTTCTATTTCTTTCTTTAAAGTGTCAAGGATCTTTTTCAGTTTCTTAGAGCTTGTCCCATTCTTTGTAAAATAATTCAAAACCCAATAGTTGCTATCCATCCACTTCAATTTAGAGATTTCTCCACCCTCCAGCATTTGTTTCAAAACTGTAATATTGATCCTCAGTCTTTTCTCATTCATACATTTTGTTGAGTGTACCATAGTCCCATAGAGACTTTTTATCTATATAGCACTTAATGGGTATTGCTGCTATGTAACTCTTTGGAATTGTTTGCAAAATTTTTGCTTAGAAAAAATTACGTACTTACCACCTCAGAATGAACAGTTTCTGCCACTAAGGTACTTTTACTAGTCCTCTGACCTTTTAAGCTTCCCATGCTAAGGAGCAACATTTACCTTCATTGTTAGCAAGTAAACTGTCCTGCACTTGAGAACCCATCAGAAATCTGCATTAAAAGTGTCACTAAAAGCAATTATTTCCTTTTCCTAGCATCTCCCTATGATGTAGAGTTTTAAACAATTTTTTAATATAATTGAGATCCTACGGGTATCTGTGGCCCTATGGATAATAGAGTTGAAGCCTAACATGCATGATGGGAAATTATGCTAACTTTAAATAAAGCACTATAAAGAAAGAAATTAAACCAGGCTATTAACTATTGAGACCAATGGCTGATGCTAAAGGTTATTCAACCTCTGTGGTTACAAAAGGGACAAAATAAGATTGATAAGAGGAACTGTGGAAACAGATGTTTGCACAAAAAGAGCAACTTTTTCAGGCAGAGGGTGGTGCCATTATGGAATGAGCTGCCAGAGGAAGTAGTGGAAGCAGGTACAATTATAATATTTAAAAGGCATCTGCATGGGTATATGAATATGAATGGTTTAGAAGGATATAGGCCAAATGCTGGCAAATGGGACTAGAGTAATTTGGGATATCTGGTCAGCATGGGCAAGTTGGACTGAAGGGATTGTTTCCATGCTGTACATCTCTATCCCATCCTGGGTACACCTGATCAGTTCCCGAGGATTTATCCACATTCATGCATTTTAAAACGTCCAGCATCTCCTCCTCTGTAATTGGACACTTTCCAAGATATCACTTTTTATTTCCACGAGTTCCCTAGCTTCCATATCCCTCTCCACAGTAAATACTAACAGGATATACTGGTTTAGTATCTCAGCCATCTTCTGTGGTTCCACATATAGGTGGCCTTGTTGATCTTTAAGGGGCCTGGTTCTCTCCCCAGTTACTCTTTTGCCCTAAAGTATTTGTAGAATCTCTTTGAATTCTCCTCAATGCTATTGCCAAACCTATCTCATGTTCCCTTTTAGCCCTCCTAATTTCCCTCTGGAGTACACTGCTACTGCCCTTATACTGCAGGAGGGATTCATTCAATCCTAGCTGTCTATACCTGCCAATATGCCTCCTTTTTCTTGACCAGAGCCTCAATTTCTCTAGTCATCCAACATTACCTACAATTACCAGCCTTGCCCTTCACACTAATAGGAAAACATTACTTCTGGACTCTCATCATCTCATTTTTTGAAGGCCTCCCACTTTTGAGATATCCCTTTACCTTTGAATAGCCACTCCCAATCAACTTTTGAAAGTTCTTGGCTAATACTGTCAATATTGGCCTTAGTCCAGTTTAGAGCTTTAAGATCAGGTCTATACTTTTCCATAGCTATTTTGAAACTAATCGAATTATTAACACTGGCCCCAAAGAGCTCCCCCACTGACATCTCCATCACTTGCCCTACCTTATTTCCCGAGAGTAGGTCAAGTTTTGCTCCTTCTCTAGAAGGTTCATCCAAGAAAATTTTCTTGTAGACACTGAACAAATTCCTCTCCATCCAAGCCCTTAACACTGTGACAGTCCCAGTCTATGTTTGGAAATTTAAAATTCCTTACCATTACAACCCTATCATTCTTACAGATATCTGAGATCTCCTTATGAATTTGCTTCTCAATTTCCCATTGACTACTGAGGGGCATGGTACATAGTACAATCTCAATAAGGAGGTCATCCCTTTCTTACTTCTCAGTTTCACCAAAATAACTTCACCGGACATAATCTCTGGAATATCCTCCCTAAGTACAACCGTAATGTTATCCCTAACCAAAAATGCCACTCCCCCATCTCTCTTGTCCCCACTTTGTATCCTTCCTATAGCATCTGTTCCTGGAAGATTAAGTTGTCAGTCCTGTCCATCCCTGAGCCATGTCTCTGTCATAGCTATGATATCCCACTCCCATGTTCCCAACATGCCCTGAGTTAATCTGCCTTAACTGTCAGGCCTTTTGAATTGAAATAAATGCAGTTTAATTTATCAGTCTTACACTGCCCTCTGTCTTGCTCCTGCCTGCTTTTACTATTTGGCTTGGTCCACTTTTCAACTGTACCAGCCTTAGACATATCTCTTTTCTCACTATCTCTTTCAGTCCCACCTACAACCACCAAAATCACCACCACCACCACCACCGACACCATCCCACCCCCAACCCCCCAACTAATTTAAAGCCTTGTGAGTAACACTAGCAAATTTCCATGCAAGGATATCGATCCCCTTCCAATTCAGTCCAATTCCTTCATATGTAGGTCACTTCTACCCCAGACGAGGTCCCGATGATCCCCTGACCCCTGCACCAGCTCCTCAGCCATGCATTCATCTGCCCTATCATCCTATTCCTACTCTCACTACAATGGGTGTAAGCCAGATATTACTAGCCTTGATGACATACTTTTTAACCTCCTGCTTAATTTCCTATATACTGTCTTCAGGACCTCATCCCTTTCTCTTCCTATATCGTTGGTACCAATGTGTACAATGACCTCTGGCTGGTCACTGTCCCTTTTGAGAATATTTCTCACCCTCTCCAAGGCATTCTTGACCCTGGCACCAGAGAGGCAACTCACCACTCTGACGTCTCGCTGTCGGCTGCAGAAATGTCTACCTGTGCCCCTGACTGGACAATCTATACCCCTATCACAATCAATTGCTTGGAACCTGACATATCCCTCATTACAGTCGAGCCGGTCTTCTCTGTATCCCTGTACAGTTTTCACTGTATTCCTATACTTCTGTACTTGAGTACACATGACAATAAGATCTAAAATCTAAAAACTAAATCTAATCTGACTCACCTTCCCCTGACAGTCCTTCACACCCTACATTTTCCAAGCATACTTGTTTGAGATGGGGATAGCTACAGAAGACTCCTGAACCACTTGCCTTCCCCTCCTACCTTTCCTCTCCAATGCCTATATGCCTTCCTGATAAGATGTGCAATAATGTCTTCAAAAGAATTTGAAGTCTCCCTTACAAATTTAGTGCTGCATGCTGAGATCTGTGCTCTATTCCTCTAGTCACACAGATCCCTTCACTGTTGTGGCATACAGCTTCAGACGCTTATCCAAAGGAAACCACAAAAAAGAGAAATATAAGAATTGAGAGTTTCTGGAGAATTAACAACCAGTAATACAAATACATTTTCTGAGCCTTGGAGCCCCTGTAGCACCTTCACAACTCAATTCATAATCAGGAACATAATTTTTAAAATTTTTACCAGGGCTAATGATGTCTTTCATTTCTCTCCACACTATATACTGCAAAGGGCCATTGAATTTTCCAATAGACAGGGCTGCATTTGTTACTGAGAGTGACTGGTTCTTCTCACTGATCCTGTAAATAAAAATAATTAATGTTTATAGTTAGTGAAATTCAGTTTCATTGGCATATTTAAAAAAATTATATGAACAGTCAAGCTATTTGGATTCATTCCATGTCAGAGAAAAAGAGGTAGAAAATTAAAGACTAGTCTTGTTTCCTTAGCTAAGCAAATGAAATCTTAAAAATACAAGGACAAAGAAAGCAAAAGCCCAAATCACTAAGAAAGGTCCATTAGATTAATTAAACTAATGGATTGGTTGCCAGATCACATATTACACACAAAGGAAAACATTTAGTTCAAAAACGTACTAGACCATAAACAAAACCGAACTCTGCAAATATTTGAACAATAAAAATTGGGCAAGTACTGTCTATTCAATTATGCAAAATGTGAGGCACACAGCCATCCAAGGATTCTGCTCTCCTCTAGTTCAGAATTCTTCAATATCTGGTGTGGAGCAGGGGACAATAGCCTGGTGCAGAAGCAGTGGCACCAGTGCAGGAGCAAGGGCACATGGAGACCTCCTGCATTGGTCTGCTGTGAACTGCCGTTGGAGAGAGATTATGCTGTTTGTCTTTTTAACTTTGTTTCTTGTTTTTCTGACCTGTGATTATACAGCGTATAGCTGTAATGTAACTTTCTTCTTCTTCATTTCTCTATTCTGTAACTAAGATGGCGCTGTGTATTGGTGACATTGTTACATGGTAACTAATCTGTAACTGAAGAACCTGTACCTAAGATGGCACTGTAAGTGGTGACTTATCAATATTTCACTGTACTTATTTGAGTACATGTTACAATAAAGCTAATTCTATTCTATTTCATTCTATTCATCCCTGATTTTAGTTGTTCCACCTTTGGTTGCTTTTTCAGCAGCCCAGTCCTTAAGTTCCAGAAAGAACATCTTAAACCTCTCCAGTTTCAATTCCCTTTTCTCCTTTACTACATTCACTATCAACTAACTCCATTGAGCGATATTATCTCCTATGGGACTCAGTGTCACATTTTGTTGTCTATCACCACTGTGAAGCACTTTAGGATTACATAATACAGTAAAGGCACTATACAAATGCAAACTGTTGCTTCTCTGGTGATAGAACAATAACACATTATAGTATAAACATTCAACAGAGCTCTCCTTTAAGACCTGTCTCTCTGAGGTTGGTCAGATGCCCTGCAGTTGCTTAAATGGCCCAAGCCTTGAAAACCTAGGTGAGGATATGTTTCTCACTCAGTGCTAATCTGCCTCACTGGCAGATTGCACCTTACAAATGGCCACTGTGAACCTTGAAAATGGTCTATTATTGACACATCTTATTACAGTTCATTATAATATTGGAAAACCATTATTTATACCAGTGTTAAATTTAAATCATTATCATTAAATCGTTATAAGAAAGAATAAACTGAGTTCTTGTCATCCAATTAATAACCCTTTTAAAATGTAATTTTGGGATTGTTTGCAAGAAAGAAATCCACTAACATCAATAACAACAAACTCAGCAACATTTCAGTAAAGAACATGTCCCTACCTTCTCTTCTGACAAGCCTCCTCCTAGAAATAAATAAACCACAAATATTGAACATGATAATAACAATTTCAGGAGGAGCTAGGATAGTGAAATGAACAGACATTGAGCAGATGAGATTTCATATAGAAGGGAAATATGAAGTATTTTGGAGATAGAATGACGAGAGACAATATAAATTAAATTCCACCATTTAAAAGGAATACACACACAAATCTTCAAGATAATTGGAAAAAGTAGAAGAGATTTTAATTTAACAATGACTGTTAATGATTTGCACCAGCTGGAGAAAGTACATTTAATGGGAATTTTTAGGAGGGAATACTTATATATGTGAAGAAGAGATATTTGCTCAATACATACGGAAAGAGCAGGGGCAGTGAAAATAATTGGATAACTCTTCCACTAAACAGCCACAGGAAGGTGAGACTGAATTGTACAGAGCTTTGGTGAGTCATTATTTAGTTTATTAAGTGCAGTTTTAGTCTTCTTAACTGAGGAAGGATGTTCAGGCTTTATAGGGAGTGCAACGAAGGTTACCAGATTAATTTATGAGATGGCAGAAATAATATATGAAGAGAGACTGGGCTATGTTCACTAGGGTTTAGAAGAATGAGGGGGATTCTCACAGAAATCTATACTGGGCATGGCAAGAGCGGGAAGGACATTCCTGATGACAACAAGTTCAGAACCAGGGACTACCATCTAAGGGTATGGGGTAGACCATCTAGGACTTTCTTGACCCTGTCACAAAAAGTGTTTGAGGCCAAAACATTGAATGTTTTCAAGGAAGAGTTTATAATATACGTATATATAATATATATGTATATAGTTGTTAGGGCTAAGGGGATCAAAGGGTATGGGGAGAAGTTGGGAACAGGGTACTCGTATGAATGATCAGCCACAATCACATTGAATGATAGAGCAGGCTTGACCTTCTTCTGCTCTAATTTACTATGTTTCTATATGTTTCCTTCTGTGTTGTAGAATTAATGATATAATTAAGATGGTCCATATGTCAGGTACTATATCTCAACATCAGCCATGCTCACAGACATAATAATTCACTTTACGCAACAAACCTACATGAAGGTGTAACTGAATTACTATGTGAACTTCAGGAGAAAATTACACTTATGAACAGGAAAATAATTCCACACAAGTTTGCAGATCATAACAAGATTTCCTGTATTCCTGAAAATCCGCAGGCAGCGTGGGGAGCAACTAATTCAGTGCATCAGCAGAACCATCCAAGAATTAACAAAATTTTGGCTTAATTCTGCTTCCATTTTAAAATAAAAATTGATAAAATACTTTATTAACTTCAAGTTATCATCAGTTATTTTGCGACTGATACTTTAGTGGACTGACCAACGCTATAATCCTACCTTCAGAAATATCAGCTCGTCTTTTTCCTCCATCTGTTTCTGTAACTTTGAGAGCTCCACTTCAATAGAATTTAATTTCAGCTGGATGTCTTGAAGATTTTTCTCCATTGTTTCTATAATCCTATTCTCCTCTTCCCTGAGATCTTGGAGTAAACGTTGTTCTTTCTCTGTGAGAATCTGGCGCATTTTCGTGAACTCCGATGCGATGTCGTTCAGCAGACTGCTCACTTGCTCCTACCAAATGAAATGTGAAACATCATTAATGTCCTGCAATAAAGGGAACAAAACTCACAGAGATCCCAGAAAATCAGAACAGGGAGATCTTACCCTCACTTCGGAAATCTTCCGTTTCTGATTCAGTTCTGTTTCTCGAACCACCGATTTCTTCTCTGTGAGAGAATCTAAAGAAGACTTCAGCCGATTCTGAAAATCCAGGAGAAAATTAAAGAATAACGGTATTCCACTATGCCAATGTGAATACAGTGTAAGTTTATAAATGTGTCCTCATTTACCTTATAGATCTCAACGGCTTCTCTAATCGGTAGGAATTTGTGGAATGCGTGGTCGCGCGAATGTCGACAAATTAAACAGCTCAGTTTTTTTTCAGTTACACAAAACAGCTTCAGATCTTCCTGATGATGCTCACATTGAAGTTTACTTTCCTCCTGATTCGGTTCCAAATTTAATTTTCGAGCTTTCTCGGCCAGATTCGCCAAGGCCCAGTTCACTCTAAGGCTAACTTCTGGAAACTCACTTCTACATTCCGGGCAGGAGTGTATCTCCCTACTTTCCCAACTCTGAGTGATGCAGGAGCGACAGAAATTGTGTCCACACTCCAATGAAACCGGGTCTTTGAAGAAATCTAGACAAATGGGACAAATGATCTCCTCGGTCAAGCTCCGGAGCGGCTGCCTGGAAGCCATTTTTCACACTCAGCACCGCCTGATTCGGTCAAACCGGTTTTACTTTCATTGTCACTCCGTTGCTGAATACCATGAGTTCAGCGATATCCTGATGATTTCTCCGCAATGCTTATAGAATTGTCATTTTTGAAAATAGTTTCTGCCCGATCCACTTTTTCAAAGAGGGGAAGGGAGCGCCTTGATGCCTGAACAAAGTCGGGAAACAAACGAAAACTTGGACGCCGATCATGGAGGATGGGAGACTGCCAGTGGGGGAGGGTGAGAAGGGTGAGACAGAGGAGGCGGAGATGGGTGTGGAGAGAGTCAATCATTGCATTCTTGGAGTCGCTACAGGTTACAAACCCACTGGTGAAACACGGCGTGAGATCCAGACCCTGAGACAGCACAGTGTCTGTTGTTGCAGGCGCTCACCCTTATGTATAAAGGACGAAAAATGTCCAAGGTACACTCTTGGTGACACAGACAAATAAGATATTTTATCCAAGATTAGACCGCTTAGCTTTCCTGCTCCTCTGATGCTGCTTAGCCTGCTGTGTTCATCCAGCTCTACGTCTTGTTATCTTAGGCCCGTGAGGGTCGGTTTGGTTTTCAGGAAACTCTTGCATTTATATTGTGCCTTTCATAACTACAAAAACATTAAACATTCCCTAAATGTGCGCTCTCTGGATGGTCCGTGTATAGCATGAACTGCCAGAGGAAGTGGTGGAGACTGGTACGATTACAAATTAAAAGGCATTTGGATAGGTATATGAATAGGAAGGGTTTAGAGGGATATGGGCCAAATGCAGGCAAATGGAACTAGATTAATTTAGGATATCTGGTCGGTATGGACAAGTTAGACCGAAGGGTCTGTTTCCGTGCTGTATATCTCTATGATGCTATCACTGTGACTCCTTGATGTCACACGGTCAAACGGTTCATTGACAAGTGCAGCCACCTTCAGTTCCACTTGAAGTCCTGATGAACGGTCCCGATCCGAAACGTCGATTTTCCTGCTCCTCTGATGCTGCTTGACCTGCTGTGTTCCTCCAGCTAAACACTGTATCGACTCTAAAGAAGGAGATAAACTCCTGCTCGGAACGTAGAGACGAGTTTCCGGAAAGAAACCTCAGGGTAAATTGGGCCTTAGCGAATTTGGCCGAGGAGGCTCGAAAATTAAAGCTGGATCCGAAACAGAAGGAAAGTAAACTTCACTGTGAGCATCATCAGGAAGAACTGAAGCTGTTTTGTGAAACTGACCAGAAACTGATCTGTTTAATTTGGCCGGATTTGCGGGAACATAAATCTCACAACTTCATGCAGGTCAATGAAGCTTTTGAAATCTACCGGGTAATGGAAAATGATTTATCACCTGATCATAGATCATAGAATCCCTACAGTATGGAAACAGGCCCTTCGTCCCAACCAATCCACACCAGCCCTCGAAGCATCCCACACAGACCCATCCCCCTACAACCCACCTAAGCTATACATCCCTGTACACTACGGACAATTTAGCATGGCCAATCCACCTAGCCTGCACTTCTTTGGACTGTGGGAGGAAACCGGAGTACCCGGAGGAAACCCACGCAGACACGGGGAGAATGTGCAAACTCCACACAGACAGCCACCCAACAGTGAAATCAAACCCGGGCCCCTGATGCTGTGATGCAGCCGTGCTAACCACTGAGCCACCGTGTTCCTAAATTGCATTTTCATGGTTTAAAATTTCAGTCTGTCGTTTTCCAGGATCAGTTGAACTCTTCTTTAAGCTCTCTCACAGAAATAAATCAGCGATTCTAGAAAAGGAACTGGAACAGAAACGAATGATTTCCCAAATCAGGGTGAGGTCTCTCTGTGCTGATTTTCTGGGATTTGTGTTAGTTTTGTTCCCTTTATCGTGAGACATTAATGATGTTTCACATTTCATTTGGTAGGAACAGGCGGACAGCCTGCAGATCCGCATCACATCTGAGTTCAATAAAATGCACCAGATTCTCACTAAGAGCAGCGTTTACTCAGAGATCTCAGGGGAGAAGAGGAGGACTGCAAAGCCAGTAGAGAAAACCCGTCGAGAGATTCAAGAGACATTAAGCTCTAGTGAGAAGGATATTTCAAAACTGCAGAGACAAATAGGGCAAAAAGACGAGCTGGCAATTCTGATGGTGAGGAAATATATCGTGTAATAAAAACATGTAAGTGCTGGAGAAACTCAACAGGCCTGGCAGCATCTGTGGAGAGAAAACAGTGCTAACATTTGGAGTCCAACGTATCTGTTCAGAAACGTCACCCAGTTACAAAACAACTGATTGTAAAATTGAAATAAATGCAACGCTTAATGAAACAAAGCAAAGCAGATTTTAACCCATTGATTTGTCTTTTCCAAGGTGGTTCTGCTTTTGACTTAATTGATTCTCACACTGTCTGCACATTTCCGCAGATACCTGCAACACCTCAGGATTGCGTTGTGGTGATCTTAATGCAGAATTCAGTGTTGCAGAGGTTTAATATTGTTCAGGACTTCACATTACTTTTGTTTTTCCTTTTTAAGTGTACACCCAATTCCATTTTAAAAAATAGTGCGGGCGTTACTTCCCCCATCATGTCAGGCAGTACATTACCAACTACAAGTCATAAAGAATGGGTCCTTGACCTGAAACGTTCATTTCATTTATTTGTGCACACTTGCTGCCAGAACTGCTGAGCATTTATGGAATTATCTACAACAACAACAACAACATGGGATTTGATCCGCATTGTCATTGTTTAAAATAAATCCTAACAGTCCAGTTTCACCAATCCCTTAAAGATTTGATCCCCCAGTTCCCGATGGTCCAATTTAAAATAGTCTCAATTCACACTTTCTTATTTGGTCATAGGATGTGGGTGCCTGGGCCAGCATTAATGTCCCAACCCTAAATGCCCCCAGAGAATTTGATGTGAGCTGCCTTCTTGAGCCACTGCAGTCATTGGACTCAAGGGACACTTATATTACTCTTAGGAAAGAAGTTCCAGGACTAGACCCAGTCACACAAAAAGCAACAGCAATATATTTTGAAGTCAGAGTGGTGTGTGGCTCGGAGGGGAACTTAGATGGTGTTGTTTCTATGTATCTACTGTCATTGTTCTTTTGGATGGCAGATATTGTGAATTTGGAAGTTGCCATTGGAGGAAGGATGATGAGTTGTTGTAGTGTAGACAGTGCACACTGTACATAGTGCACACTACTGCCATTGGAAGGAAAGAATGTTGAAGCTGGTGCATGGGTTGTCAAACGAGCAGGCTGTTTTGTTCTGGGTGATGTCAAGCTTATTGAATGTTGTTGGAGATGCACTCATTCAGGCAAGTGGAAAGTATTTCATCACTTTTTGGACCTGAGCCTTGGATAGCCTTGGGAAGAAAGGAGACGAGTTATTCACCAGATAAGTTTTAGTCTCTGAACTGTTTTAAAGCTTTATTATTCATGTGGCTGATCCAGTTCAGTTTCTAGTCAATGGTAATATGCAGGATGTTGACAGTTGGGTATTAAGTGATGTTAATGCCGTTGAAATCAAGGGGCAATGGTTAGAATCTCTCTTGTTGAAGATGATCATTGTCTGGCACACTTATGTCTCAAATGTTACTAGCCACTTTTCAGCCCAAGTCTGGATATTGACCAGGTCTTGCTGCATATGGACACAGAATACTTTGGTATCTGAGTAGTCATAAATGGTGCAGAACATTGTGAACATCCCCACTTCTGACCTTATGATGGAAGGAAGATCGTTGATAAAGCAGCTAAAATGGTAGGGTCTAGAACACTGCCTGTTGGGTCTAGGACACTGCCTGTTGGGTCTAGGACACTGCCTTGAGGAACTCAGGGCTCATGTGCCACAGTGGTATTGACCGTACCTCTGACTCAAGTGGCCAGAGTTCAAATCCATGTGCTCCAGAGGTGTGTAATAACATCTCTGAACAGGTTGATTCGGAAACTATCTACCCTAAAGAACTTCCGCAGTGATGACCTGGACTGAGATGATTAACCTCCACAACCACACCTGGTTCCTTTGTCCTAGGTGTGACTGCAATGTGCCCTCTGCTTCCCAATGACTCTAGCTTTTCTAGGGATACTTGAAGATATACTCAGTCAAGTGCTGCCTTGACCTGAAGTGCAGTCACTCTACCTCACCTTTTCAATATAAATAAAAACTGATCTTTATCAGCTCATTTCACCAGCCCATATCCTTCATGAGTCTGTTGCTATGCTCCTCACTGTTGGTGATTTATTTCTTTCAGGAGGAGGCTAACCAGAAGTGAAGGTAGGACATGTTTGTTTCCCCCTGAAACTCTGAACAGTTTTGAAGAGTCAAGTGGACATGGTCAAATAACAGAGTTGACACTTAGCAGTTTGAGGCCAAAAGATAAGTGATTCATTTAATGGAAAAGGAGAAAACTGCTCAATGGCTCTCCACTAAGTTACAAATTGTTGGGGCTTTTATACTTAAAATACAGTTACATGCCCCATTTCGAATGGACAGCTTACCTCTCCCTAGCTTTGTAAATGTCATATGTTCTAACTGCTAATTTAATGTTTAAACCTAGTTGTTCAGCCTCCAAAAAGCTTTTTAAAAACTACAGCCTTACTACAGTTAACAAAATTGACATATTCAAAGCTAGGTATATGTTCCCTGAAGGTCATAAAAAGTTAATCTATTTCTTCATTATATTACATTATAGTCTAAATGTCTGTCTAATTAGCTATGACTAAATGGCACGTAATGTCCTCACTGATCAGAAGGTGCAAGCCCAACCCCAATCATGTACCCTGGAGCTCCACTGAAAGTATGTCAACTGTACCAACCGGTTTTCAAAGTATTTGTGAAATTATGTGAAGGGTTCATGTTACCTTTGTGAGTCCTGATGGTACACAGATATGCAGACCCTGATCCCTGCATAACTACTAAACTCATTATTAGGGAGAATGGGGAATGATGGCTCTTTGTCCACCTGTGATTGTGTGTGCATGCTGTACCTTTCAGTAATTTCCAATACTTTTTAAAATATATTTGAAACTCTTACATCCTTGCTATTCCTTATAGTGCTAATGCTATTCTTGACTTTTATTTTATTTCACCCGTCAAGTTGTACAAAAAGAAGTCAGCAAAGTACTTATGGTCAATTTACAATATTAACCTTTAATATTTGCAGGGTTGCGGGAGAACAGCTAATAAGGAAAATGGAAGATAGCATATT